ACCACTTGCCCACTTACGTACTTCTGTACAAGCTGGAATCTTAGACCCTATGCTATTCTGTGTTCTTTTTTGTATGATTTGTATTGATTTTGTATGAGATTTGTATGCTTTTTAGAAACTTCAGAGAGATTGTTACTGTAGGTACCATGGAGTCTAAGTGTCTTTTAGTCTTCTGACATGCGACTTGGTGCTAAATACTTGAGTGTGGTTTGGAACAACCTCCCCCAGCCCTTTTTTGCCTCTTTCTCTTCAGTATTTTACTTTTAAAGCAAGGTGGCTACACTTGTAGACTAAAAGCAGGGGGCATTTTGCTTTTTCTGCCTTACTGAGTGATTGGGGTAAGTCATGAAACCTCTGAATCAGTTTCACCTACATAATAGCACAATAACTGTGACTACTTCTGATAGATAATCTGAGATTTGATATGAAAAACAGTGACGCAGGTGTACTACAGCACAGCTGTACTTCAGTGGGTTGTTTTCCTCAGAAGTGGCAACTGCTGCTTGGAGGCTTATAAATAACAACAACAAAAAAAAAAGAGCAGATCACTGAATTCCCACAACCACTTCTTGACTGTAGGATTGCTGTGTAGCCAGTGGGATGGACATTGCTGGTTCACAGCATCCCCAGTACCTTGCATGTCTAAATTCAAAGAGCAGTAACTGTGCCTTTAGCAACAGGTCATATTCCTTCACTGTACTAACAGCGTGAAGTCGATGGAGCAGATAGACCCGTAACAGGCAGTGCTGGAATCTGGTAGGGTAATTGGGAACAGCTGATAGGCTTCCAGATGTTATCTCAGTTATTTCTTTCTGAGCTATATGTGAAATACTTCTTGAGGATTCAAATATGGAAGAGGTTACCCTTCACATAATCTGTTTTTCAGTCTTCCTCAAGATGTTCTGAAGGGAAAATGAAACTGTCCTTTCTGCTAAATGGAAGCTTGCTTTGGACTGTGACCCATGCTAGCTTACTGCTCCAACAACAAAAAATAAAAATAGAGGATTGATTCTTCATGTTTGGAAATGAATATTCCAGCCCCCCTATTGCTGTGCTCTTAGGCTGAAACAGATGCACTTCTGTGTTACGTAGAATGCTTTTTAAAGGGATAACTTATTAAAATGCTGGGTCAGATGGACTAATGACTGTGTATTTTTATTCCTTCAAGATCTGGCTAGTGAGGAGAAGAAGAGGCTAGAAGAAAAGCAAAGGACCGCCCGCAAAAATCGTTCAAAGTCAGAGGAAGACTGGAAGACGAGGTCAGTGTGCCTGCATGCTATGGGTGTTTTGGTATGAAAGTGTTGAACATTCAGGTTAACTGCCAGCCCATGCTGGTGGTGTGTGGTGTCAGCATGAAGCTGATATCTCAGCATTGGTGATGCTGCTGTGATATATACAGTCTGGGTCTGTGCAGGCTGCAGCACCCAGAGTCAGATGTGGTCTTGGTTCCTTCCCCCTCAGTGCTTGTGCACCCGTGTTCATACGCTAAGCATTGAAGTGTGTTGCCTTTTCTAAGTGTGAAAAAGATGCTGCTGCTGATGGCTGTTTGTAAGGACAGTTGTTAGTGGCGACTAATGTGTAATGCCTTAAATATGTATGCTTGGCCAAAGCGAGGAATGAACAATTCCTTCAGTGAACTTGATGGCATATTGCCCCCAACTTCTCAGATCAGTTGCTGGGTGCTGGCAACACTGTACTCCTGCAGCATGCAGGTTTTTTGCTTTTGTTTTGTTTTTTTTTTTTTTGAAGATGGTGAAATGGCTCCATCAGCTCATTCTCCATGTCATTTCTTCCTTTCCAAAAGTGTTACTACCTATAAAAGTTAGAGGAATTAAGGGAAAAGTTAGCATACAAGGCAGCTGCCAGTTGTTTTTCTTAAAAGGGAAGTCTACTGGGAGCTGTCAGGCACAGCTGGCTCAATAGAAGTTGTAAAAGCACAATCAAATGAATCTTGTTTGACCAGGCAAAGCCTATTCAAATTTATAACAAAAGATCGGTGGCCTCTTCACAGGAGGGAAGAAAAAAAAAAAAAAAAAAAAAAAGTAGGACTAAATTCTCTACAAGTAAGCAAACTTCATCTCTTCCCTACTTACTAATTGCTAATGGACCCAAACATCATGGATTAAATGTCTTCAAAATGTCTGTTTGTAACTATAAATTACATCTTTCTTTTTTTTGCAAATGAAGTCACTCATCATGCCAGAGTCCCAGGTTTGGTCATGTCTGACTGTTTTTCCTCTGCCTGCTTTCCTGCAGTGTTTGGGTTTGTTTGTCCTGAAACTGGTGCAAAATAACATTTTTTGTAATGCTTCTGAGTAGATGTGTTACATGAAGAACAGCCTCGCACCTCCCTCTTCCTTCCCTGAATTCAGGGGCTCTGTGTGCTTTGGTTCTGGCTTTCACCAAGTGGTAGGGATAACTACACTGTTCCTCCAGCTATCTGAAGCTCAAAGCTTGATATGAGAACTAACGGAATTTCTAGAGCACAGTGCAAAGCAATGGTTCTCAGGATCTGTAGTCAGCGCAGAACCATTCACAAGGTTCTCCAGTTGCTGTAGAGCCAGCACTGTGCAAGTTGTCAGTGCATGGACTTCAGATTCCTGGTATCGTTTAAGAACTCCTTATTTTCCTGCGTGTCTCCAAAGCTTTGGCAGAACCTTTCTTGAGTCTGATCGTTTTAGTAGGAATGCCAAGTGTGACTGCTTTCAAAAGATGAACATAAATTATGTAGGAAAAGCTTCTTTTCACTTAAATGTAGAGATGAGCCTGGGGAAAAAAGCTATTTTGTTCGGAGGCAACTCTTCTGCTGCTCCCTGAGGATCAGCCTGCAGGTCTTAACCTGAAGTGTGATGGAAACTGATGTAAACAGCTGCATTTCCCACTGGAGGACACTGTCCTGATCCATTCCAGTGCTGAAGGCAGAGCAGTGGGATCCTGGGCGTTACAGGGTGAGGTCATTCCTTGTAGCCCTGATCCTCAGCAAGCTTACACTCTGGAATAAGCTGCTGCTCCATGTGAGCTGGGAAGCATACTGGGCCTGCACACGCACCAGTTACTTCAGAGCAACTAACGTGCACGTCCCAAGCAAAGCTTACATGGTAGTAAACCATGTGTGGCACAAGGGGTGAGGGACTTTCACTGGCTTCTGTTAGTTTAATCAGAGCAGAAGTGCCATTCAGGTGTCTGTCTGTTCAATTTGTACCACTGTGATGGTTACATGAGGAATTATTTCCGATGTGCATCTCAAATCTTTTGGATCTAGCCAGAGCCTCCTACTGGCCACCGTGCTCTTTCAGTAGGTTGTAATCACAGGATCATTGAGGTTGGAAAAGACTGCTGAGATCACCTAGTCCAACCATCAGCCCATCTGCACTGTGCCCACTAACTTGTGTCCCAGTGCCATATCCATATGGTTCTTGAACCGCCTCCAGGGACAGTGATTCTACCACCTCTGTGGGCAGCCTATGCCACTGCATCACCACTTTCTGAAAAGAAATTTCTCCTAATATCCAACCTGAATCTCCCTCTAAGGAACTTGAGGCCAATCCCTCTTGTCCTATTGCTGTTACCTGGGAGAAGAGGCCAACCCCCATTTCACCACAACCTCCTTTCGGGCAGTTGTAGAGAGCATTAAGGTCTCCCGTGAGCCTCTTCTTCTCCAGTCTGAACCATCCCACTTCACTTAAGACTGGCGCTCCAGACCCTTTATAGCTTCATTGCCCTTATTTGATCCTAATGTATTTTCATTTCTGCTCTGAAAAGCAGAAAACCTAGAAAGATAGAGCGAGTTTAAAAAAAATGCACATGCATGATTTACATCAGTGTGTGTTTGCTGTAGTGAGGCATACATGCAAGCACTGGCCTTTGTGGCCACTGAAGTGCAGAAAGGAAGCACTGGAGCATATATTAACCACAAGAGCTGCTTGCAAGCTGCCTGGTGCTGCCAACACAGCATGGCAAAACACAGTAAAAACTTAAACTACTGCTTGTCCTCTGGGGTCTGCTGTTGCGAGGTAAAAGATTGAGCCAGACCCAAACAGCAAGCTGCGCTCAGTTATGCTGCATGATGTAACTGCCAGAAATAGGCATGGGTGAGGAGGAAGGAGGACAACCTTCTGTGCCACGGTGCTTTGACGGCTGTCCTCCCCACTGGGGGTACTGCTAGCAGTCCGGCCTTGTGAGGTGGCACCCTACTTTGTTGACTGTGCTATGTAAGTGCACGGCTTTCCTATGAGGAAGGAGAAGAGGGGAAGAAACCAGCATGTGCAAGAGTTCAGTGTGTCAATGAGCAGCCAGCGTAGAAGCTGGCACATAACTTGGTGCAGCTGGATCAGCCCTTTGGGCATTCATGTTGGCCCCTCAGCGCTAACAGTGGATACAACACCATCATGCTTTAGTAAGCCACAACTTTTCCTGCAGCCTGGGGGTGATGTTTCACTGAGGGTAGTGAACACACTTGTTCTCAGTTGGCATGTTGCAAAACAAGGCTTTGAGACGCTGGGGGAAGTCTAGATCCTGGGGAAATGGTGTTTTTCTGTTTTCATGACTGCAGTGCTCGTGGTGTTCACATGTCATGAAGACACTTATTATTTATGCATGCCAAAATGCTGGTTCACAACTGCTTTGAAGTGTAACTGTAGCTATGCTTTCTATGTGAGAGTCTTGACTGCTCCAAGTGGACAAAATGTTGGTATCAGTAATGTCACCTGGGAGCCATTGGAGTGCTGTTGGAATGGGGAAATCTGGCTGGCAAACAACACGTATTTAAGATTTTAAACTAAGAGGAGTCCTGCATTCATGGTAATTACTTTGAACAACAACAGCTGAAGACGCAGCAAAGCAGTTCTGAACTACAGCAATGTATGGATAGCTTTGGTAACATGCTGAATGTTTCCTTACAGATGGTTCCATCAAGGCCCCAATCCCCACACCGGCACACAGGACTGGCTCTATTCTGGCAACTACTGGGACAGAAACTACTTTAATTTGCCTGATATTTATTAAAATGCAATAAGAAGCCTGTGGCTGATACAAATAAGTCTTAATCTGTTTTAATGTTTTCCCTCATTTTACTTACCTCCTGAAAGAACTAACATGTTATCCAACAGAATATTACGCATCTCCGCAGTAAATCTGGCGGTACGTGACTGCAGTCCTTTAGGTAGGGGATGAACTGTTTTGGCTGGCAGTGGGTCCTACGTGGACAAAGTCAGCAAGTCACCATGATGTACAGCTGCCTGGTTTGCTGAATACACCTATATTAGGTCGTGGTGTATGAGGAACGGAACACCTTGGCTGTTCTGTGGATACCTTCTTTCGTAGATAACATTGGCACAAGCAAAACTGGTTTTATTTATTATGACATGGGAATGTCTAAAAGCACACAAAGTCATTGCAATATTCTGTTCTTAAAGCAGAGAAGGGTGTGTCACTTTTGTACAGAGGCAATTTTTCATAAAGCAACTTTTCTTTTACTGAAGTAACTCCCTTCAATCCTGAGCTCTGGTCAGAGCTCCCAGAAGCACGCCCATCTCTGGAGCCTTCATGCAGTTGTTTAAGCTGGTGACGTTACTCAGAGGTATTTATTCAATATTTTGTGCAGTGTGTTTTGAATTTTGCTCTCCTTTTTTTGCTACAAGCCTTATGGTTTAAGGAATTAAGAGCCATTTAAACACCTATGGATTGGATTTCAACTGCACACTAGTAACAGGTTTGAAAAGAATCTGTTCAATGCACTATGAGTTCTGGTGCCCAGCACCACTGCAAACAGGCAAGAAGTGGATCAGTCTGGGACCCGGTGGGACTGTCTGCACAGTGCAGGCTGCCTGGAAGGAAGCCTTGTGCATCTCAGAGGTAGGAAGGCACTTCAGCGAGGCCTCCTGTGCACAGCTGCTTTACCCCTTTTCAGTGGGGTGCATTCAATCTTAGAGTGTAAGTTTACACTGAACTGTGTACAGAGCTTCTAGAGGGCGAGCTGTTCCTTGTACAATATTTTAACTGCTGTCTGGAGGTTAGTGTTAATTGAATAATTTAATTGCTACTAAATAAAGGCTTCAAAACTTCTTGCATCTAGTCTAAAGTGAATGGTGTTTGACAGTGGTGACCCCTTCTGAGCCGGCCTCCAAAGTTGCTGCAGTGATGCTGGATAGTGTGCTTCGGTGACCTCTCTTCCTCTCAGTAGGAGAAGTCTGGCGCCAGGAGCTGGGGCAAAGCATTCATTCTGAGCATGCAGTGAGCCCACTGCTCAAGCCTTGAACGTGGACTAGTGGAACAGCTACAAAGGCAGGGAGATGCTTTCTGTTTTTATTCTGTGTGCAACTAGAATTACCCAGGTAGGGCAGTGGTACTGGAGCCATCTGCACAGATGAGGAGAAATGCTTTTTTTTGGCTGCGCGTTGCCTGGTTCTTATGGTGAGGGCAAAAATTGGATACCTCATCGCTTCTGCACTCAGCTCTTCACTGTGGCCAGCATTTCAAGTCTTACCCTCAAAGTTGCCCAGCTGTTAAGTGATTTTGAGAGCTGTTGTGTCAGTTCTTCAGCATGCCATCCATAATGGAACATTCCACTCTAGGAAAAACAGAGCATTTAGTTCCTGCCTTCCCCAGAAGATTTAAGAAGAAAACCTCTACTCAACATCAGGTTCTCTTTTGAGGGATTTTTGTTTCCTAAGAATGGATTTTTCTTTTTTCTACTCATTAATACTCTGAGATTGGTGCCTGATGTAATGACAGTCTGTGCTGCACTAGTGTAACTTTCTGCAAGGACATTTATACCTGTGTGCTCAGCCTTGGCTTGTCAGCCTTTTTTTGCAGCCATACATCATCCAGAGGGATGATATAGCAGCAGTTATCATGGCTTTTTTCTCATCAGCTGGGCTGACAACCAGGACTGGGGCTCCAGTGAGCGTCCTAGCACCTGCATCTTGCTGTGCAAAAACACAGCTAATAGATTTACAGTCCTGGTTGTTATTTAACAGTAGAGCCCATGAAAAGGAAAGGTGCAGCATTTTCCCTTTTTTTTTCTTCTTGCATTGCATAAATTGAAGCAGGTGCTTATGGCAGATTTTTGAGCTCATTTCAAATATGTAAGTTAGACAAGAAAGGGCCAAACATTAGAAAATAGTGGTGGTTGTCCTGCTCCACTTGATGCCACGTCTACAACAATAAAAAGCCAAGAAGGTTAATAGCAGAAACAGTGAATTCCATATAGAGACTGCAAGTCTTTCTATCTAAATCAAGCATAGCTGCACTTGGTAGAAGGAAGCATGTTAGAGAAGAGATCGGGGATAGCAAGGCAGTTTTGTACACGGCTGCCATAGCTACAGCCTAGAAAAGCAAAGTTACTTACGGTCAAGAGGTTCTGCTGAGCAAGCATTTGAGAACTCACCTATTTGACTTGTATTTTTGAAGTTGTGTCTCTCAAACTTCCCCCAAAGCATTTGTTAACAAGCCAGTATTTTTCATTTACAGTCTGCCTAAGCTCAATTTTCCCCTACACCATTCTTTACTGATACCTCACAGCTGTGCTGGGACAAGACCAGGAGACCTGGGACTGGGGACCTCCACCATGGAGTGTTTCTCCAGCTGGGCAAGGGCTGAGCTGGGCACATTAACATAGAGAAGGGCTGCTTGTGAGGGCCCCACCAGGAAACGTGAGCACCAGTTTTCTTCATGGCTGCAAACCAATTGGCCTCTTTGGTCCAGCTGCAGAAACTCACCAGACTCACCAAGACAGCACAGGCAACCACCACCATTTGTTTTTTAAGTGGTAAACCTCACATTAGTGATAGAACAGGATATCATTCAAGAAAGTAATCAAAACCTGTTGCACCTTTAGCAATAGTGCAGATGCATCACATCTCAGTACCCAGTATCTGTTTCAGAAATATGCCAGAAATACGCCTTGTTTTGAGCAGAACTATTAGGAATCAAGGGCCCCCTTCCCATCACTCTTATCTGTATTTACCCATGGGAATGCAGGATCTTGCCCAGAGCTAGTCCCATTTCTTGACAGATTGCAGAGAGCTCTAACACACATGCACTGGGGCCAAGCAGATGGCATTCATACAGCAGTTTCTTAGAAGCCATTGCTGCCATGTATTGCACCAATGAAGGTGCTTTTCCATTGCGTGAAGCTGAAGGGCTGGGAAGATGACAAGGACCCAGACTTTCTTACCTGAAGCAACAAGCTTGCTCAGCTGCTTCCATCGGTGCTATGCCTTCCATCTGCTCAGGCTGGAACACTGCATCATTAGCGATCAGCCATGAGACCTGGCCCGCGTTTAATGACAGCTTTACAGAAGAAAGAGCTTGTCCACTAAAGGAAAGGATTATTTTATCTGGAAACTGCTGTGTGTAGGAAGGAACCTCTGCATCCATTATCAGTTTATCAATGGTTGAAATAACCTTAGCTGCACTACAGGAAGGCACAGCCTGCAACTCTTCTTTAGAAGGTGGTGGTGGTGGAAGAGATGAGAGTCCTTCCTGTAGGTGGACTGAGGAAACCTGATTTGTATCAGTTGTTAAAACAAGGACCTGGGTGTTGGAGGGTCCTAGTTCTCCACTCATGGAAGACCAAGGCTGCACTCCTAGTTGTGACCTAGAAGCCTCAGCTGCCGAGGCAGCAGAAACATCTTCCTGAAGAGTCTGCACAGTGGTTGCCACATCCCTCACAAGACAAACAGAACCACTATCTTCCACCTGGGCAGGGAGCTGGGCAGGTTCAGAAGGCACATACTCAACTTCAGATCCTTCAGGGGATAAAGCTCTGTCAGGTCCAGTGGGGTGCATGCTTTCTGGAACAGAACTGGTTGGTGATGGGCACAGAGTTACTCTGGAGCTACGTGAAGTGAGGTCTTCAAGATGATCATCTTCCTCTCTGTCAGTACACGATTCCTTTCTCTGGGACTCAGTAAAAAGCAAAGCCTCATTATGATTTGATGTCTTCTCTTCCAGTTCCCCATTCCAAGTTTCTGCGAAGTAATTAATTAATTAAATAAATAAATAAAAAATAAAAGGCAGAAAACAAACACCTAATGGCAATGTATTAGCACGTTTCCATTGAAGTGAAGATTGATTTCAGCCTAGTCAATCAGATGTTCTACAGCACATTTATGAAGCTTCCCGAGAGGAAGTTTGTTGCTTCCCATTAGGAAGGCAAAAGAAAACTCAGAAGGCACTGGTACCACTTCAAAATCATGGGCTCCTTAACTGTATTCCTAACCTCGCAGCGGTGGCTATGTTCTCACACACTGCACAGAGCTTATGTGCCTCTTTCACAGGTCTAGGTACAGTTGAGATGCAGCCCACATAAGTGAAAACTACTTGCAACCACTTATGTTGGAACATCATCTGAAAATACTCTAGGAGAACAGACAACAATTATCTTACCCTGCTTAAGATCAAATTTTTCCACCACTTCTGTTAAAACCAAATCTGGATTCTCTGAAAACAGAAGCACAAATTAAGCTGGAGTTAGATATGCACTCGGAGAGCTTATGCTATTCAGGTAAGGATTGGTACGAACAAACCTTTTTGGAAGTCAATGAACTCTTGGAAATAAGAAGCTAAAAACCCAGCAATGTCTTCTGGTTTCTGTTTAATGACAGCTCTGCTCACACCCTCAAGCAAAGTCTTGAGGCAGCTCAGAACATTGTCTGGAGGCTCCATTGTCACACTCTGAGGCCGGCTCACAGCTTCTCATCTGCAGCAAGAAAATGCCTGAGCTGAGCACCTGCACATCCCTGTGGGATTCCAGCAGCACCATGGCAGTGGCCTAGGCCACCACAAACCTTTCTCCAATACTCCCCAATGCCACTTTCCCTTAAAGAGCCCAATCATTGACACCCCCCATGCTGGCTTTTCACGTAGCAGGAAGTCTGAATGGCCAGCAAGCTAGAAAACCGTAATGGTAATTCAAAAAACATCCTATTTCCAAAACAGACAAAAAAACACCAACACCACCAGAACAACCTCTTCTTCCTCCCCCATGACATGACAAAAGACAATTACCTTAAAGCAAGGGTTTTCAGGGCACACCTGCCATCCCCACGCCACCCTGGTACCTGCTCCCACTGCAGCCTCTCCTGCCCAGGGCTGAGCAGAGTGTGATGTCACAGTTCTCATGCATCATACCCATTGACATCCTTCTTCCAAAAACTGTCAGAACTCTGGGTCTGTGAAACTGCACAATAAAAGCTTTGGAGATGTTTAGATACAGATATTATAAAAACAGGGAAAAGTATGATTAGAGCTCACCAAGCAGAAGCAAAATCCAGCCTAAATACTTATGAAAGCTTCAGACACTAACAAACACATCTGTTTGAAATGGAAGAGCACAGCATAGGAACTCACAGGAAAAAAAAAAAAAAACTGACTGGGAACCCATTCACTGTACTGGAACTTGAATGCCATTTTTGGAAGCCATCTTAAGAACAGTACCAGCTGCTCTACTAAAACACACTGGCCTTGGGCCCAATACTGGGAAGCCTGTCAGCCTAACTGGAGACAGTCACCTCATCCCACCAGCCTTTGACCCAGATGCAGAAGTGACAGTTTCTAGACAATGTTAAAGTCTTACGTGAGCTAGAGACTAATTGATAGAAGTTCAGTGATTTAAGGTCCCAGACAAGCTTTCTGCTTCTGAGAAGAAAAATCAGTTTGTTATTAGCTCTTCATTAAGTACAATTTACAGAAGATACATCACACTGGTTAGAAGTTATTTTTTCCCCCAATATGTTACACATTGATCTGAATGAAACAGGGATGGGTGTTACGCAAATGTTTCTTGCTCAACTGAGTCTAGCAATCTCCCTTTCTTCCTCTGCACCACTGGAACTTTGTCTTGGAAGAAGTCACATCAAAAGACAAGACAATATTTTGGAAAAAGTGGCAATCAAAAAGTTTGGGGTAATAAGAAAACTGAATGTGAACAGAATTGTCTGTGGCTAAAACACTGGTTAAAATACAGGGACTAAGTAGGTCGTGAAAATCTTGGGTGATAAGGCAAAGATTCTGAGCAGGAGCATGAAGCAACACCGCCTACTCTGGTGACCTGCACTGGGTCCCAGTTGGGGCACCCAAACTTGTTAAGAAAAATAAAAATGCAGTGAAATAGGAGCAGCTCAGTATTTAACTCCAAAGAGCCTGAAGTGGAACTCGTATCCTTGTATAATCCCACCTTATATCAAAAGACTTGCAGAAGGCTGGTTTTTGAAGCCTTTTCTACTCACCTCAAAACATCAGGATGAAAGACAATGTTGTATAAACATCTACAAAAACTCTCATTAGCAGAGTTTTGTTTGACAGCTCTGTCAGGATGACAAAGTAGAGGCAGTGTACCTGTACTGCTTACTCCCAAAGCTCAGTGTAGTCTACCACTTACATTACAGACTGCCTCTAGAACCTCTGCTGATCCAATGACGAGCATGCTCATGCATATTCAGATGCCAGTGGCTGCCCAATCCCCTTCAAAGACAGCTAAAAATATAACTTCATAATATTAGCTTTAATCTTCTGTTTTTGCGACTGCACAGTTCTTCATGCAATGATTGCTACCACTGTTAATATGAGTATTTAATAATGGCTGGAAAAGGAATTCAAATTTTGTATGTGACGCTCTGCTTTTACTCCACTGAAAAGTTCTAACATCACCCTTGTAAAACCCCATACAGCTCTACATGACTGTAATACTTACTGTTCAACTTTCAGATAGCTACAATGCAGTTTGGAAGCAAGAACATCATCAGTTGTTGGGAAAACAACCAGACTGCTGTAAACTGAAAAGCAATTCAGTACCACATTTGGGGAGTTTTATTTCAGAATAAAGCACAGCTTTATAGGAATAGGAAACAATCAGAGACAGGAGAAATTAAAGGGTTTGCTTTAGAGTAACTTAGAAGCATTTTTCCAAAGTGTAGGGATACAACAAACACAACTGTGTTGGGTTCTCTTGGAAGTATGTTAAACCTCATTCGTTCTGTGGTTGGTCTCAACATGACACATGTAACTCACTTTCTAAACCAGGGGACTGATACTATACTGGAAGAGCAGAAGCTGAGGTAATTACTGACTAGAAAGCTTTCTTACAGTCACTTGACATCCCAGAAGTTTTTCCAGTGCTCAACACCACCTTGTTGAGGAAGCCACCAGTTTGAAAGACAAATTCAAGGAGCCAGGGAACAAAACGCATGTCCACGTTTCTTTTAATTTTACTCAGAAATATAAAAGTGCAAGTTCTGTAAATTAACAACATTTACAGTACGTCACAATAAATATGCCACTCTGTGACATCTATAAATTCTAGTTATTTATTTGAAATGAATCATATTGAGATAAAAACTGCATCAACATCAACAAAAAATACCTGACTCAGTAAAGATATTCTTAACATGTTAACTAGCAAGATGCATATTCTGTTATTGCTATTAGACCATGCCTCCGAGTTCCAAAGTATAAAAACATACCGGTTTGCACAAAATACAGTTGAAATTTTTCTCATCACAGGCACAATCTAACATAAAAAACAAATGTGACATTTATAAAGCAGGAGATTCTCCTACGGAGGGAGAAAAAAATTACAGAAACCAATGGTTCCATCTCAGTGATGATTTGCTAAATCCACAGAAAAGCTGCAACTTGCACAGAGTTAAACCTTTACAGGAATATATAGTGTCTTTTTGGACTGCCTCTTGGCCCAGTGAGCAGAACAGGCCTTGTAATCAAGTTTACTACAATTTGCTAGCTACCTCCAACATTTGTAGACCCCAGACATCCCAACACCAATCACATGCAGGTGCTTTGTGTCCTGAATAGCCTAGGCTCATGGTATACTTAAGCAGTGTGTTTGAAAGGAATTTTGCCATTAAATGCAATGTTTCTATCTATTTATCCAGAGTGGACTGTGTCCCTGACACAAAATATTAAAAGGTAGGACAAAATAAAATTTCAAGTATACTGGAGACCTTCCTTGAAAATTATAATTTGGATTCTAAGAATTTACTACTTATATACAGACACAATATATTGTTCTCTATTCAATACTTATTTGGATTGACCAGTTCAAAAAAGGTTGAACACTCCTCTGTGATTCAATATTACTGATTAAGTGGAATAGAAAAGCTGACAGCATCCTATCTGCAACACACCTACAGTTTAGAAAAATAAAGTCTCTCTTCTCCTTCAGGAACTGCAATAGAAGAGTGTAACTGCTCCAGAAGTGCAACCAATTTCCTTTGGCCTACCAAATCCAGTATTACTTTTCTCCTCCATGTCAGTCTTGCTTTAGATGCAACCTCAAAAGCAAATCAATGGAGGTTCTATGTGGGGCAAGGTATGAAACCTTGGCAACACAGCAACATCTTCTGCAACAAGTTAGAAAAAGAAGCAAAACGTTTAAGCTAAGGAACTGTTTAAGGCAACCTGACCAAAGTAAAGATAAGGCTTTTCAAAAATTATTTTTGAAGATATCCAGTTTTCTTGGCTTTGCAAAGTAACATAATTCAATTAACTTCCTGGTCAGATTTCCACTGATAAAAGTTTCTTTAAAAAAAAAAAAAATAAATAACATACCTTCGTTACCTTCTAGGTAATGATACTAACTGAATATGCAACATAGGGAGATGCTACAGACAAAATGTTTTTGGTTTTTTTTGTTTTGCTTTTTAAAAATCTACAAACAAGGATACAGATGGCCAGTACTAAAAACAATATACATATATGGGATCATGATGTAAGTTTCAAGCTCTCAGAGTGTCTTCAGTAAGTCAACTTCAAATGTCAACGCCACAAATTTGGAATATCATGTAGAGACTTAAGATAGCACAGCATTGGTAAAACTACAAAAATAGGGTTGGAGGTGGGTGGTGGGTGTACTGTTTTGTCTGATTTAATAGCTGTAAAGTCACTGCCATAAAGGTTTAGCAGCTTCAATGGAAAACACGTAGAATTACTGTAGGTGGCCTACTTATCTGAATGCACTGGTCAGAATTTTAAGAGCAAAATGAAAATCGCCCTCACTGTGATTACATGCAAAGCAAAGTGTTTGGCTGGAATGTACCAGAAGCCAAGATCTTAAGTGCTGATAGAATTTGTATCAGAAGTATGAGCCGTGCTGAGAAGGAAGCAACAAATAATGGAAAGGGAATGGGAGGTTTTAAATTGGCAAATTATTCATATGAATTCACTGAAATAAAACTCTAAAATTCAGCAAGATCTGCTCTTTGTGGCTGAACGGTTTTCCTTCTTTTGTGTTTTGGCTAATGCTTCAAGAAAATAAGTGTTCTGCCCATTCCCTTCTTCAACATTTGTACCAATTACTTCTATCGTATTCTAATCAAAACAGAAACACCCCCCCCTTTAGCATATTTTAGATTTAGATCTGCTTTAAAACTTTAAAAATAAAAAAAGATCCCATCTGCCAACATTGAAGTAAGCTGTGTGCTTATTTAGGCTCCCCTGATGAGTCACTGAATAACTGTGTTCCCCTCGGTTTAAACAAACTAAAAAGCGAAGAGTTAAAATACGCAAGGTCACTTAACCTTCTGCTTGGTTGATTTACTTTCAGTTGAAATTGTAGTATTTTACTAAGCCATACCAACTCCTAACCACATGATGAAAGTGTCTCTGGCACAAGTGGTTTCCAGAAGAAAAGCTGGTCTTCCCAACAGCTTTTTTTCTTCTGCTTCATCCTAAAGTGCAGAAACTGTGGGAACGGACAACACAACTTCCTGTTTGTCACTGTGGAACAACTTCCCTTAGAGAAGCTAAGGCTGCATGGATGCGGACATGCAATCTGTTCTCAAAGTCATAGCCTGTAAATTCCTCCTGAAATTAAAAAAAAAAAGCATGCAAATATTAGATTCCTTCATTTTAGGATATGAAAATAATTTCACTAATAATGATTAAGAAGTCAAGCTACAAAACAGACTGGAGAGATGAAGTGGAGATTCCATATTGCTATTCATATCTCTGGCTTACAGAAGTTCTAAGTTGGCAAAAAGAGCAGAAAGCTTCAATTTTCAGTGTGTTGTTTGGATCCTATTCAGTTTAACAGTACCTGGAAAATTATGCAAGCCTTATAGCTCAAGAAAGATCCCAAAGTCAGGGACCAGAGGAACATGTATGAAGGAGAGAGCTGCAGTTTCCAAACGTTTACTGCTGAATCTTAGCCAAAAATATGGCAAAGTCATAACAGTCCAGCAGAGGTCACTACTGTGA